TGTAGTGCGGTAGGAGATTGTCAAAGCATGAAGAGACGATAGACCTTGTTGCTCAAAGGCCAGCGCCATACACGACGCTCTGGACCAAGGCTCGCTCTTTCGCCATCTTTCGCATCAGCCGCTATCAGGGCTTCAGCAATCTAATGTACAGGTGCAAACGCCGAGACAGAGGATGATGACCGTAGATTCTACAGCTGCGACCACCTGAGCTAAGGGTTGTTGGACAGGTCCTTGTTTTTGGCTTTCTGTCCAGCGGCCTTTGAACGAGAACAGTTGCGCGCGAAAGTTTAACGAAAGTTCGCGTGAAAGGGATACAGAGTGCGCAAAGCATTGGCATTTTCGTTGAAAGGGAACACTCAACATCGCTGTTGTAATGTTCTAGCTGAAGGCCTAAACTCATTGGAGCAGCTGCTCGGCAGCTTGGCCCAGTACCCGCGGACACTGCCCTTTGGTCAAGGGCTGAGAACTAGATTTGCCTTAGGGGGACGCATGCCAGCACACAGGCAAGCAAAAGATGCAGCAGTCGACGTGATCTGAGGTTCGGGCGGGGCCTGGGATGCGGTCAATTTCGTCCAAACCGTGGTGTGCTCCTTCTTGGATGCCGCGCTGGCAAAGCCGGCCTGTTACAAACTTTCAGCTGCGCTTCAATCATGTCTTCACATGGACAGCACGAAAGGAAAAGCGCTCACAAGTCTTATCTTCCTATCCCTTGGCCTTGCGTCTGCCTCAAGATGCAATGGGCAAAGCGGATGGCATGCATAGTAACACAGCATCGCATGTGTGCAGCATGCGTGTTGGAGCAAGGCCAGCGCCGGAACCGCAAATGTCACAAAGGCTCCAAGTGTTCCTCAATCCAGCAGAAATACGTGCGATGCTTCAATGCCCTTGGCACTGGTTCCCTGCAGGTATTTCATGACCAAACACTCTCGAGTTCCGGCATGGTCAGGTGTTGGAAGCGGCCGCAGCCCCAGCGATTTGCTCAAAGCGGGTCTGCTGCTTTCTATCTCAATCGCAGCACGGGAAGCTCTCTGGCAGTGAGGTTGGCTGATGTCGACATCAGTTCAACGTGCGCTTGAAGACCTTCGCGTCGTGAGTCCTGCCCCCAAGACCTCACAAGCCGCTCAACCACGCAAGCAGTTCACACGTTGCACATCTAGTGTGGAACGCCAAGCAGTCTTGGCCATGGACATTGCCACTTGGCTTCTAATAGGAAACTGACGTCCTGTCTAGTTCTCACAGTGAACGTTAGAGTATGGGCCGTCTGGAAATTTGGCACCATACCACGACCACGAGCTGTCATGAGCTAACGCGCACCCGTCCTGTTTGCCATGCTAGTGTGCCAAATGCTTGCTGATAGCACCTGAAGGCTTGGAAGTCCTGCCGACAGTTCCGCGGCAGCAGCTGCCACTGCTCGATGCACAGGTTGGCATCCTGGACTCGTGCGGACCAGCGCAGCCAGCAGCCCCGAAGAAGCCTGTGGCGAGGCCATTCGAGTTGTGCAGGGGCTTCAACAACTCTGTCGCTCCACGCTGCTGGCCGCATATGCGTGGCCCTCACCGTGAGGCTAGCTTCACTGTGAGCCTTTGAGCAGTGCCGGTGAAATGGTGAGGCGAGCTTCGCTGATCTGCACAGCGCGGCCATGGCTGCCACCTGAGCATTGAGAAGTGTAGACCTTTTTTCAGGCTTGAGACAAATGTCATGAAGTGAGGCGAAAATCAGGCACGAAGTTCTGAGCCACCTGGCAGATGCAGAGGTGTGTTTGGACCAATTTAACAAAGCATCCGACGAGTGCACGGGCATCCCATGGGCAGGCATGCTTAATGGAAAAAGCAACACTTTCGGGGCAGCAACTACGGACACTTCAGTTCGCAGAGGAGCTCGGCCCTTACTTTGAGTGGGGTGCAATCAGATGCAAATTGTCAAATGCACAAAGCATGAAATGAAAAGAAGAGAATGAGGTTTGAGGACCTTGAGGCAGCAGCTGCGAATCTTGCAGCGTCAGCAACAGCTGCATCGTTTGCTTTTGTCCTCCTTGCAGCTCTTCGTCAAGCTAGCTGCAAGCACCGACGTCAAACGTGCGGGGCTTAGACAGTGGATTTAGCTGTAGCTGCCAGGCAGCCAGCTGAACTGTCCATGCTGGCATTCATGGTTCATGCGCCTTGAACACTGCAAACTGCTTCCGTGTCGTGGCCTGGGTGCCTGCAGGTCTAGATGAGCAAATGCAGGCATCAGAGAAGTTCAGACCGCACGCGTTCACCTACTGCTGGGGGCTTGTAAACATGGCCTGTCACACTGAAAAGAATGTTCTGACTACGACAGTAGTGCATCAGGTCTACAGCATCCACCTCTACATCCGTTGTTCTTTCGAATGTTGCGCTCCTGCCCACCGAGCAGCGAAACTCTGGAGGTGAACAGCGGAACCGTTGACTTGTGAATGTTTGGGACTCGACGCCCCATGTCTTGATTACCATGACACCAGAGCGTTTGGACACGTTACCTGTTGACGAGTATGCTTCACAGCAGAACAGTGAATCGACAGTAGCAGTAACTTCAGCCTTCCTGCAAGCATCATTCTGACACCAAAATCTCAGTTGCAAAGTCTCAACTGATACTTGTCCCATTACTTCACATCACTATTTCCGGCAGCAGCCCCTTTGTTGCTGAGCATTACCTAGGGAAACAAAGGCCTACCATCCGGGTCGCAGAATGGGAGCGTCGTAGATAAGAGCCACAAAAGCAAATGCGCAGACAAGATATCCAACCGACATCCCTTCATCTAAGTTCCACCTCTATCGTGGACTTGGGACCGACTTTAGAAGGCCTCCCTCTGGGGGCATTGTGAGTTGCAAGGATCGCGACCACAAGCATGATTCGCGCGTTGATGCTTTCGGTGCGACCAAGATGCGAGGGCTTAAGAAAATGACAGTTACGAGGCTGGCGATCCTGACCCGCCCAATCGCGGTGACTGTTGGCATTTTCTGGTGCGCACAACAAAGATGTGAGGGTCCAAAATTGTTCCCCCTGGCCCAATCAATGCGGACAAGAAGTGTTTTCGCATGTTTTCGCGATCTGGCGAATCGGTCTTGCGCAGAATGAGGATTCAGACATTTCAGACCTGATGCAGCAGGAGCTCCTGGCTTCATACCCAGAGATTCGCTGGGCTCTTGAGTTTGGGCATTCGGAGGCCTGGCTCCAGAGTTCCGTGAATTGTGACACCTTGGGGTGATCACCCAACCCTTGCAACACTCTTGTCGCAGCCACTTTGACATGTTTGACCTAAGCTTTTACAGCCCCATGCTTGGAGTTTAGAGTTCAATGGTCTGCCATAAAGGTTTAGGGTCGATGGTTGAGTTCTTTCGGCTTCTTGCAGGAGTTTGGGGTTGAGGATGGGAAGAGGGCCGACTCAAGGTCGCACAATCCGCTTGGGCAATGGAGATCTCTGAATTCTTTGCTGTGCGGCACTGCTGGTGAGGCTTCAACAAGTCGGTGGCCTTTGGTGGCACATGCTGCCTGCGCCCTTCATTCCACTTCTCTTGCTCCATGTAGCAGTTCCAGCGCATATTTTGCTGCGTGCCCGTTGAAACACATGCGCAATCATGCATGTTGACAGGTCAAGCAGATAGGGGAGACGGCTGCTGCAAACGAGAGGACGCTTCTTTGCTTCTGGCAGCAGTTTCAAGTCCCTTCTGCGTAATGCCAGGATAGCTGAGCCCAGACGCAGAGTGATGGCGGCCACTACCCTATATCCAGCGGGCATGGTATGAGCGTACCGTGCGGGCAGATCCTGGCATGAGGCCGTGGCTGCCATTGCTTCAGCCGCAACTCGAATAGAGGCTTCGTGCTGTGGGAAGGAGATCATTGTGCTCTGCAAATTTGCTGCCCAGGATGCGTCTGGCGGGGTTGCATCTCTCAGACAGACTGCGGTGGCCTGCAGCTGACAAACATGATTTCAGCGCTTACCGCACCCACAATAGGTTGCAATGCTACAAAGCTCGACCGCTGCTATGACATGGGCAACGCATAATGGCATGCGGGTTCAAGTTCAGGTAGACTAGATGCTTCTGTGCAGTGCTGCAACATGTTGCTGGACTTATAGATCCCGCTTGAAATGCCAACTCTACTCGGACATTGCGAGTGTCATGACTCAGTATAATTACGGCAATGTTGTAAGAAGATATTTTCCCAGGGCCTCCATAGCCCGCAATGCCGCTGGAGCTAGTGTCGCGGACCGGCAACGCCAACTGGCATGCGAGCATCGAACGAGAGCGCGCAGCACGCTTGCAATTGAAGACGGCCTGCAGGCCTCTCCCCACGCAGCAGCGACTTCCTGACCGAGAAGGCGATAGCTGGAAGTCCAGCTCACTCAGCAGCTCCCTTAGCAGCTCACATGGTTCGCTATCTTTCAAGACCAGCTCTGACATTGCCTCAACCTCGACCTCTTCGTGGGAGGGTCCACCGCTCTGGGCAGGGTTAGTACTTCGGGAACACCCTAAGCTGCAAGCCTATGTGTCTTCCCCACAGCTCTTCGCCAAGCGAGGCACGCAAAGCAAGGGAGAGACGTTGACCAGCTTTGCCTCCACTTTCAAGCCAGAACTGCGACTGGAGGAACTGCGGGGACCTCCCTTCTCCTCAGCCTCATCACGACTTCCGAATCACATGGTCTCATACCCTGAGACAGGCCAGTGGATGCTGTAAGGACACCTGAAGACAACGCCAGCTCAGCTTTTCCTTGCTCCTGGTGAAGCCAGCGCAGCTTTTCCTAGCTTTTGCATGGCGTTTTGCACAGGCTGCTTTCAGTTTATCTGTAGGACCCTTCTTCAGGGTTATTAATATTCCTCCATGCTTGCCCAAGGCCAGCGGAGGGACGGCAAACGGAGAAAACAAGTTGCTATTGGTAGTAAATCTCGGGGAAGCTCGTAGCGAGAAGAGTCTACAGAACGCAATGCCACGCAGTTTCTGGATCTGGGTACTTGCAAGGTGGTTGTGGCTGCGTGTGCCAGTGGCAGCGCTAAGAGTGTTCAGGGCACTTTTGAGTCTAGTCTGCAGTATGCTTTCGCCTAGGATTGTGGGCGAAATGGGGTCCTACCCTCCGTTAGACGCTCTTACTTTGGGCAATCTGCATCTCCAAATCATCGATTTTGTGTGTTTCACTCTCCCGCATTCTCCCATCACATTATGTTATATTTTTCAAGCTCCCTGCACCCCTACGCGCGCCGGGCGGAGAGTAAGGCAGACCATAGCAGACCTTAAGGATTTATGGCTCATACAAATGATGCCCGTCTTGCAGAGATTTGAATTTTGAAGCCTGCGACTGTACTGGACAATAACATTTGAGGCAACAAAAGCAAGTACGTCCCGAGGTTCCCCTCTCCAAATCCTGGTGGATTATGCTAAGTTGTTGTTTGGGCCAGCTCAGGAACCACCCAGTGCCCCTCTGCAGACTTTGAGATCATCATGGTCATTCATGGTCCCTTCTGCCAACACGCTGGTGCAGCGTTTGCCTCATCTACGCTATCAAGAGCCACCATATATCTGTTCGTCTGCTGATCAGATGACCTGTCGGCCGCGATTTCACGTCCCGCCTCCCCCTCCTTTCCTTTGCTCCCCCAAACCCCCTCCACCTCTTGCCCTGATCTGCTCATCGAGACGACGGTCTGGCCCCACCTCCAAAGCCTTGCAGGGTGGGGACTTGAACTATCGGATCTTGCTCTGGTGCTAGACTGATTGCATTGGCCTATATTTGCAAGCCAGGGTTCAAGACCACTCATGGGAAAAGAAAGCAGATTGGCAGCTCCAGACATCAGACACATCAACGGACCAGAACGGACCGCAAGCCTGCAGCACCGTGTGGCACTTCGTTCAAGCATCCAAGCTGAGCAGCAAACGCAAGACTAGTTCACCTTGATAGTACGTGACATGGACACGAGCAATGAAGCTTCGAGCAAGCGCCCCTTGCTTGAAGAGGAAGTGCGGCTGCCTGGTGTCAACAGTTCCGAACTGCGACCTTGCATTGTAGCAACACTTGCCGTGCCCCGAGGACTCTGGATCTTTGAGGGCGCCTCCAGGTCATTCCGAAGATCACACACTTGCCCCATTGCCCTTCATTGCTCATCCAAACTTCCCCTGACACAAGCAGGCCAGCGACCTGACCAAGATCAGGAAAGCTACGCGCTTCTGCAGGCAAGTCAATCTTGCGAATGTCGCTGGATCAGCGCACGTCAGACTCGTTTAGTAATGTCAAATCGTGCTTTGCTGGAGGGCGGGGCAGTGGAGCAAGGTGCTGCAGGCTCAGAGCCTGATCCAGGTAGTTGTCCAAAGTTCAGATAGCGTCTGACTTTCCAGTGAGAGGATCCGAGCCATCGGAACCCAGCGGTGGAGTCTTGCATCTGCTCCGAACTGAAGAGGCAGGGCCGGATCGAGCGTTGTGGCTTTTTGAAGAGTGTGCCGACAGGAGGCGCCAGCCGATCGGCAGTCCGAAAGGAGGTATGCCGCCGAAGACGCCAAACGGCTACTGAGACCACCATTGGCGGTCACTGAGGAATGAGACATTCGAAGAAAGTAGGAGACGAGCTTGACGCATTTGATTTGATGCTCTGCGTGGAACAAGGCGACTGGGCGAGCCTTCGCGGGGTACGGGTGAGACGGTGGCGATAGAGATGCAAAGCATGGATGAGGCGTTGGCTTGCATGGAAGCATCATGAAGGAGGAATAAACAACTGCAGGTTGACCAATCCAGAGAGCTACTGCCCGTGGCACGCCTTGCTTTCTAGCCTCGCTGCCTCGCAGCACTCATTGCGTGCCGTGATGCTTCCTGCGTTTGGAAGGTGTCAGCAGCAGCCTCAACACATGCAGTACGGCAGGGCGATGACAGGACCACAGAATGTTCTTTGCAGGCTGCAAAACAAGTAGCAGAGCATCCGTCAGGAACTGCTTCATCTGCTTGCAGGCTGCGCATGTCCAGAGCCCTGCGGAATGCCGCATTTGACGAGTGAATCCTCACGACAGGACAGCGACAAGGACAATCCTCTCGTGTCCTGCTGCTCAACATGTTATGCGCGTGCCCCTGAAGCGATCTGGAGTGATACCTGCTTGTTTGAGAGGGTGACAAAGCAGGGGCTGCTCATCCTGTTGAGTATGATGAGCAGCACATAGACTTGAAAAGTGCTGAACAGGTACACACAGAAGGTGTTGGCGAGAGTGGCGCAACAATCAGCACCGAACGGCTTTGCGCTCCCATTTGCTGGGGCCACCTGTCTGGATAGATTCAGAACTTCCTGCACTGCGCCAATTCAAGAGTGTGTTCTGTATTTGGCGTTTATGTGTTTAGCCTTGAGAGCCTCTTTAACCTGTTTCCGCCTAATTAGAGAGCTTTGGACCCTTGTTTGGAGAACCTGTTTAAAGAGTTTTGGTTAAGAGGCTCTGACGGAATCCAGATCACTCCCAAAACCATGGGAGCCTCATTGAGGAAGTGCATTTTGAGCTTTCTTGGGGCCCTATTATTGTCGTTCTTGGGAAGGGAAGACCCCCGATACCAAAGAGCGTGTATCGTCTGAGCTGCTTTTGAGCTGTTTGAAATGTGAACAGGCTCCGCATGCAGACGAGCCATATGCTTCGCTGCACAATTTGCAAATCCGGAACTGCCATGGTGGAAGGAGAGGAGGCATGGGCTTTTGCTTCTGCGTTCCTGAACAAAAGACAGCATGCTTTTTAAAAGCTGCATCAACTGCAGAATGGCCTCTCCTGGATGAACGAGCTGATGTGTGGAGGGGAGCCCAGTGCCTCGGTATGTCTTGGGTCTTTGCAGCCTGTACAAGGCCGTCGATATTCAGATCGGTGCGCGCATTTTGCAAGTTGGCTTTTGTGGCGTGCATGCGCAATGACTGCGCGATATCGTTTATCGTTTGTGATGCAGAAGTAGCGGACCAAAAAGAACTGGGCCTGTAACAGTAACAGACCTTGGGCAGCGGTAGACTTACAAAAGCACTGCCTTCAACTTCTGCATGAGACGGGCAAGATGTCCCGCATTGTCCCGCTTGCTGTTGTCAGAAGACTTGTTGATAAGATACCCGTGGCAGAAGAGAGCATGATATCCCCGTGGTGGGCAGAAGTTGACATGTAGAGCTCCCATCTCGACGGCGGCGCATCGCGCACTTCACATGACATGTCATCGCGTGGCATCGCGCATATAGATGTGACAGGATGCTTGAATAACCATTTGAAAAGGATGTCCAAGCTCCCGCGGAAGACATTCCTGTTGTACAGCCGTGCCCTTGAGCAAGCAAAGCTGTGCTTACCATCATAAGGACGGTGCTGTTTTGAATTAGATCACTGTCTGCCGACTGCCGCTCCATTCTCGTGACCGTTTCTGATCTAGGATTAAGTCTTCGTGCTTTGCTGGTGAGATCACAATGTTGCATTTGTCATATATCAGCAGTGAATAGTAGTGAGCTCATTTGAGACTCGCGGACGCCATGATTTCAGGGCTGCCCAAATTCTCCAAAGATATGAGGAAGCGTACTTGGCATTGATGTCATTCCTTGCAATTCCTAAGGACATCCAAAAGTTCTAGGGGTTTCGCACACCCGAAGTGAAGTATGAAACGACAGCTGCTGCCTGCAACGACACTAGCAATCTACCCCGATTCCTCCCAGTGTTGCGCGCGTTTTCTTCATGGAGACTGTTCAGGTCGAGCTTTGGCCGAAAGTTGGGCTTGGTATAGATAAGTCTTTGTTCAGCCGGGATGCACTACGTTTGCTGTCTAAAAATGGCTCTCCTTTTGGGTGATCGCCACTTGAAGGTCGGCATACAGCGAGTCAGTCCCGTTTGAGATGGGACGAATACTGGGAAGCTCCAACCCGAAACAATCCGGAACATTCCCAGCATGTCAGAGCACTGAGCCCTTCACTTCGTCAAGGCGAAAACAGTTTGCTGGGACGGCTAATCGCACTTGGAAACCGCAGAGATGATTCTGACGAGGACGCGGGCGTTTCACAGACAAGCATACGTGCATGGCTGCGTTCCTTAGGATCCAGAAGCGCAGCTGGAAGACTTGATTGATACGTGGAATGCTTAGCTAGCCACGTTTAAAGTCCCAAAGCATTCATGGAACATGACCAGCAGTTCATGGACACAGGCGAACTTGCATTGCGCTGGTCATTTACTTGGGAGTGGCCCCCGTCTCAGTCATTGCTTGCCTGCTGCTGCCGTATTTCAGCAACCCATGCACAAGTGGCACACAGCTCATCGTGGCCATTGTCGTCGCATGCCTCCTGATCGTCACTCGCGGGGTGGGGATACTTTGCGATCTTGTTGAAGAGTTGAGACACCCCTTGCGGGGTAGCAGCGCCTTCATCCTTCACGTGACAGTTCTGGGCTGGCGACGTGGTCCTCTGCTGCATCATTGCTCTCTACGAGCTCTCGGTTCTGCAGGCATGCTGGTGTGCAAGAGTCGTTGTTGTGTTTGCATGCAACGAATGCAGCTCGTGTTGCTGGCCATTCTTCGACGGCGAGACACTACGCTGGCTTCATCAGTGACAAGGCAGGCTCCAACAGGATGCAGTGAAGGGCACATAGGGCACGAGCATAGCTGAAATGGCAAGCTACTAGAGCAGGTTTGTGTGCAAGTAGACATAGTTCTGAACTATGCATGAGGGAAGCGTTACGAGGGCAGGTCATGACACGGTCATGTGACATTTAGGAAGCATCGCGCCTCGGAGCATGTGAGCAGATCTGAGACTCGAAGCACAGAGGATCCCAAGCGAGTGGCATAAGCTGCAGATGAACTCTGGCGTGCAACAGTGGTGTGGGTCGGGTGACTGGGAAGCGGGGAGGGGGTTAGGAACGGTTCAACATAAACTGAGCCGGGACCAAGCCTCATGGTTCTGGCCAAGGCACGGCTGCTACAAAGTAGTGTCGGTAGCAAAGGCCATTTGTCAACCCAGGCGTGCCAAGCAAACCTTTGCTTTTGGGAGCAGACTACTGGTCCACTGCTAAGGGAGCTGGATGACCATGCAGCTGCAATTATTGAAAGATGGTAAGTCCTCAGGCAGATGAAGTTCACCACCAATGCTTTCTTACGTCTTTCAATGAGCAGAGTGTCGCCGTAGAACTGGCATCATCAGATAGATGTGCGTGCTGACAGGCCCTCTGCCGAAGAGCCAGCAGCACGCGAAATACAACTCCAAACACTTTCAGAGCCAGGACAGCTTGGAACTGTACGTTAGCGGCACCCGCTTGCATTATGGCCTGCAGGTTAAAGGCAAAACTGGACATGAGAACACCGGCATTGCCATAGTTTTCTGGATCATGGTTTCACTCATAGGTATCCGACCCAGAATGTACAGAGCCGTGACCGCATGGCACCTGGGGAGTGTGATGGCAGTTCGTAGTAGCTTTGTTAGTTTCAGCTGCTGACACGAGGGGCAGAGCGCCAAACACATCTTGCGAGCTTCAAAAACAGCTCCCGCAAAGATTGCTTTGCGCATAAGCAATGACGAAGGGCATGGTCAGACTGGTAGCTTTCGGCTCGCTGAGAGACTCCAGCCAGTTGGGTAGCTTCATGCGTGCACGCCCGATGGATGTCAGCTGGAGCCTCCGACATTCTCTGACACTTGAGGTTGTTCGCAGCAGTGCTTCTGTGGGTTACGTAGAAGAAGGGGGTTGCTCACCACGACATGTGTTCGCTTGCAGCGACATATCATGGCTGACAGACAAGCAAGGAGGGAAGGGCTTGAGAGAGAAGAGCGTCAGGAGGAGTTCACATCTGGAATGATCGAATCATTCAATCATTGAGCAGTCTTTCAATGTGGCCCTGCATCACTGAGTGCTGGCCTCGCTTGGAGGGGCACTCATGAAGGGCCGGGGTGGAATGCAAGCCTTCCTTGACCTTCCAAGCTTACCGTATCCCTCCGCAGTACAAGATCCTTGGCGGAGTGTGGCAAGACGCTACTGAGTACTGTAAAGGGGTTTTCTGTCGTGTGCAGAAATATTGTTGTCGTCGAGGTTGCCATGCCCCCTCTTTGTAGGAGGAGCCCATCGACTCAGGTGAGGGCGCTGTTGACCCGAGGGCGCTGGTATGGGCTGGAAAGGAAAAGTCCTGCGAGACCTTTCTCGCAGGTGCAAGCATGCAGCCTCTCGGCTTATCGCGCTGCGAGCCCTAGCAGGTGACAGTTTCACAAGCTCGACTTCAAGAGTTCATTCGAGCTGAGCTGAATTACTTTGCTGCGCAGCACACACAGGCAAGTTCCTACCTAGCGGCAAACATTGTGTTGTGATGTTGCCGTCCTGTTAATACTATGATTAAGACAAAATATTTAAAAAAAAAAAAAAATCAAAAAAACTCAAAAA